AATATTGTGTTCTCCCACAACTGCAACCACAGACACTCCGCTGTTAAAAGAAAAACAGAATTTTAAGACTTGTTCTTCAGGCAGGAAATCTGAGAACATCCGAGAGGGAAATTTCCAATTTTCGAAAGGGACTAATTCACTGAATGCTTTGCTTTTTCCTCCGTCCTAACTGACCGGAGGTATTTTCATACCTTCGGACGCAGTGGGCAGCCGTCAGAACCCAGCGGCTGTGAATCAAAGTTCCTCCACAGATGTGTGCCGACCAGTCACTGTAGAAAACCCGCAATGAGACCTGAGCCCAGCAGCAACAACAAAAAGAAAACACTGAGGTCCACAGGCCAGTAGACGGAAAATATGTACGTTATGCAATTAGTGTTCCTCGCTGTGCAAGCAGTTCATTCAGACCAACTCACTTTATACAAAACCCCCCTCTCTTTAGTGAATGTACTCGATTTGCATTGATAAATCATTACAGGTCTCTAAATGCATACACATCTTCATGGCGGTGATCGGTCCCGCATACCCACGCAGGACAGCACACCTCTCGGTGCTGTTGGAACACACACAGGCAGACATTCACAATGGGTGGTCAATGAAACTTATTTCCTTACTAGTTCTATTTTTCATTAAGTACTGCCTTCGGCTTTCACTCAGGGCTCTGTCATTTGCCGAGCTATTGTGTGTTTGCTATCTCGTAGTTTCTTTGCGTCTGTTTTAGTTTTTTTTTTTGCTCTCAACCTTTCTGCGCTTGCTTACGTATTGCAACGCTTTCCCTGTTCCTTGCCACTACCGCACTGCAGCCCTGAGTGCTGTTTTTTATAGCTTTCTTTTCTTCTTTGGAAGCCCCTTTTTCTTTTGCTGTGGTGTTTCCCACCTCTGCATTGCACGAGAGCTGCATTGCACGAGAGCTGCTTGTGAACCCTCGACCAGACGCGCCTATTCTTTCACTGCGCCACATCAATAAATACATGCTTTGAATAATACTTTTGATTAAATACTGTCTATGTAACCTGACGTTCATGTCTATAGGTCAACAAAAAGCACAATTCCAGAATCTAAGAGCTGTATTGCAAAATGGTAACCCTTCGAAGAAAAGCCTAAAGATCTAATTCTTTAAATTATTTTACAGTGGTCACCCTGATGAAGTAGGTGCTAAAGATTCAAATGGTGTTCTTGCATATCGAGGCCATTTCTTTACTTTAGATTATGCTGCTGTGATGTCAGCCTTCCCAAAACACTCTCCTGCAGTCCACTGTTACATGTCTTCCTCTGACCACCTAGTGCAGTGCTCCTGTTTAGCTCTTCAGTTCTGCATGAAATCTGCTCTCCTACCTGCCAAGGCCAGGAGTAGGGGACAGCTGCCACCCCTCCCACCACACGCTGGGTTGTGTTCCTCTGTATTTCCTCCAGATACTGCACCTCTTCTGCACATCCTGAAAACATGAGAAGACAATTCATGCTTTGATCTTTATCTTACACCTTTACATAATACATAAGGTATAAACAATTCAAGTGAATACTAAATCAGGGCAGGGCGGTGGCTCTGTGGCTAGAAGGTTGCCGGTTTTAATCCCGCGGCCGGCAGAGGACTTTTGGAATTGTTTATTCCAAACACAAGCAGATAAAAGAAAATGGATACATCAATTACTCCAGGTTGAAGCGTGTGCTTATTTTTCCTATTGTTCCAGT